TCAATCCATGACATTCTCTTTCCCTTTTGTACCTTTCAGTAGAATCAACCATGATTGGCCCATCTTGGATTGGGTGTCTAAACTTTTAAAATTGAGACTAGACCATGAACTATGCTGAATTCAACAATTCTGTCTTGTCAGGCAGATGGCCACTCTCTCTGGGTAACCACCTTGCCTTATAGTGTAACTTTATTTCAAATTTCAATACAGTCAAGCTTCTATTTTGGGTTTCTTTACACAAGTGGTGTAAATAGTTAAATAAACACACAAAACCAAAAAGTCAAGTATTTAAAAATGATTAAGAATATAGTATTTCATGTCATTCACCTTTATAGGTGGTAGTTTTCTTGTATTAAAAAATTTTGTTTTCTTTACTATTGATGTGCTTTTCTTAAACACACACTCACAATCCACTAGTCTCTTCACATTTCTCAGCACTTACATTTATTAAATTGTATATGTTCTATGGAGAAAAGACAATTGAAACTTGGAATATAGACCTGAGATAGGATGCAACTAGCTGATGAAAGGATAAAAAGATAGTTTTGTCATTGAAAGGTTCTTGTGCACAGAACATTGTAGGAAACTTCCATTTAATTTATCCAAAGTAAGTTGACTAGATTGAAAGCTATACTAAGGCAGAGTCCACATGGGGCCTCATTCTTGGCCATACTGGCTGTTAGGTCCAGGTTTATTTCTAGACATGAAAATGAAAATCAGTTTTTCAGTCTACTAAACAATTCTGTTAAACAATTTTCCACTCAAAAGCACTGTCTAGTTATTATAGATCCTGCAAGGAAATCTTTAGTACCAACAGTGGGGTAAGGTGTTAAAAGCACTGGAATGAGACCTTTATTCTAGCTTTTCCCTGCTGAAATAAGATGTATATTTTTGGGCAACTGAACGTTCGCTTCCTCATCTGTATGTTATTGTCAAGACTAATGTCTGGCACATCACAGCCTAAATAAATAGTTGTTGTTGTGATTATTCACCTCTCCATCTTCAGTCATTCATTCCTACTCCCAAAGCAGTAAACTCCCTAGCAGTAAACTAAGAAAGTTTGATTAATGTTCTTTTTCAGTTATTGCTTAAAATTTAGTTCTTTGAAGCAGTTCACTGAATTTATCTCTGATGTTCTTCAGAAAAGTACATTATGGTGTCCTGCACAAATTCTTTCATAAAGTTCTCAATTATTCCTGGCATACAGCAGTAGTGATTGCCCGAGCCCCACTCTGACAGGGGAAAACAGAAGGAATCAGCTGGTATCTAGGCAGCTGAGGAGTCTGTGGGTAGAAGATGGAGGTGGTAGTTTGCAAGAAATAAAGATCCGAGATTTTCATCAAAGTAACTGCCTGTGACTGCCTGTATCCCATTTGCCCATGCAATCCCCAGGCTGACCTTTTGGAGTTTCTTATCTCACTATTTTCTAAACTTAACCTTTATTTTGATTATACTTGTGTGCATATTTTAGGGGTGAGAGTGGGGCAAATGGCTGGTATGATTTGCCATCCAAAATCGTGTGACATGCCTTAGGCTTTGCAACTACCTAGGGATGGGCTTTCCCACTCAAGAGACTTTAATTTTATAGCAACAGAGTTACTAAGTTAAGAAGTTCTGTTTAAAGAAACATGCCAATTTTCCAAAGTATTGTACAGGCATTTGAATCATATTTTATTAATCTCCTCAAGCAAGGTAAAGTAGTTGAGCCACTAACTTTTAGATCCAAAGTCCTTACAGTAGATGCTATACAGGCTTGCTGGGCTCAGTCCTTCCCAGAGTTTATAACACAGGAAATACATTAGTTTGCATCCTTCCATAATGGTTACCAAACCAACCAAACCAACCAAACCCATTGTTGTCGAGTCAACTCCGACTCACAGCGACCCTATAGGACAGAGTAGAACTGCCCCACAGGGTTTCCAAGGAGTCGTTGTATTCGAACTGCTGGTTGGTGTATTCGAACTGCTGACCTTTTGGTTAGCAGCCAAGCTCTTAACCATTGTGCCACCAGGGTTCCACATACTGGTTATCTAATTATAATGCAAGTATCTGTATGTGTTTCTTAATTCTTATATAACCTGTTGATGATATAACAAGATGGTATTGGAAGCTTAAAAGGAAATTTTACTCCAAACCAGAAGAGGAAGTTTTTGCAAGCAGATGTAATTTTTGACGGTTAGGCATGATTGGGGATAAAGACACCTAGCCCACAGTCAGGGTATCATGTTACTTTTTTAGAACTCACTCTGATCAGGCAGAATAGCATCACCACCAACCAACTCAGCAAAACTCACTTAGGGCAAACTTGAGAGGCTGTAGTCACTGAATTTCTCTAGGCATGAGGTGTAGAAGCAGATACTGTCTTTTATTAAAGATATTTTTTGAGTTTTCTGCAGTAAAATGAAATTTCTTTAGAGATTTATATGTTATTACCCATTGTCACCAAGATCAAACAAGGCTATTAATTCATTTTTATTAATGGGAAATAAAATAATGATAGACTCTTAATTCTAACATATCTAGCTTTGCTGAGATGGACAGAAATAGAGGTAGAATGTGTACACTTTTAAGGCCTGAGCTTTGACCACAGTCAGAAGCAGTTCAGTTGGTGTTCCATCAGTTCCTTTAGGATGATTTTCTAGGAGGCAACCCTATTCCCCTACCCCTTCTAGGGACGGGGAAGATGGAGAACTAAACAGCCAGCCATCAGCCAGGAGTAGCCATGTTTAAACCACACACCATGGGTCATATCCACCCTGAACATGCCCACTTCTTAAACCTATTTGAATGGAGATTGGGCTGGTCAACTCATGTCACATCTTTTCATTTTGTTCGTATTTCCAATAAATAGTCCCATTTACATTTATTTAAGTATCTGACAGCAAGAATGCTTAATTATGGTTGAAAGATACAAGTGGGCTAAGAGGGCCCGAAACAGGTCTCTGTAAGTCAGGAAGTGAGATCAGGAACTGTTACAACCCTCAAACAACCAGTCAATAGTGGAAAATTGGCCGAACCTGGGCAGAGAAGAAAGTGTTTGGGAAGAAAAATTAGGGTAAAATTGAAAGTGTTGTGTTTCCAGTGCTAACAAGACACCCAGGTGGGCATATTCAGTAGGCACTAGAGAAAAATGTCTTGGGATACAGTTTGGGAAGCACTGGCATGAGAGAGATAGCTCTTTCTAATTACACATCAGTCTCATCATTTCAGTTTGAATATTTAGGAACGTGAAGACCAATCTGCATCAACCAGAATTTAGTTTTACATATTGTTCAGATGGAAACAGAAAGACTTACGTTTAAAACTCTACTGCATTTTATATTTATAACCAAAAGTTAAATTTAGTTACTAATTTTTTTAAAACATCTCTACCTATTATTTTGAAGAAAAATAATCTCTAAAGTGCTATGCAACGTGCAAAAGAAATATCCAAGTATGGCGTATGGCTCTTCCTACTGAAGTGGGTGGTTAACTCCCAGGGAAGTTACATGATTTTTTCAGTTAGCTTTGGTAAATAAATATTTCCACTACTCTAGTTTTCGATGAACTATAAAATTAACAAAAATGTCCACATAAACCATTTATTTTACATATAGTCTCTTTACCTTCTAAAAATAAATGGATCAGAAATAGAAAACTTGATTTTGACAATAAATATTAAATATCATGCATTCGAAAACCAAAAAAATCCAAATCCATTGCCTTTCAGTAGATTCTGACTCATAGTAACCCTAAAGGACAGAGTAGAACTACCCCATAGGGTTTCCAAGAAGCGACTGGTGATTCAAATTGTCAGCTTTTTGGTTGTAGCCAAGCTCTTAACCACTGCGCCACAGGGCTCCTATGATATATTAACAAAATATAATTATATACTTATTAAATTACCAAGGTTTAAATCATGTATTCAATATACCCTCTCAAACCTAGCTGGCAAAAGAGGTGGGTAACAAATATTGGGAAACCCTGGTGGCATAGTGGTTATGAGCTATGGCTGCTAAACAAAAGGTCTGAAGTTCGAATCCACCAGGGGCTCCCTGGAAACCATACAGGGCAGTTCTACTCTGTCCTATAGGGTTGCTGTGCATTGGAATTGACTTGACAGCAACAAGTTTTTTTTTTTTTTAATACATAGTTAACTGATTTTCATTAAATACAGTTAATAAGTGAAAAGTAAAGAGGGAAATGCCCCTATTTGTATACAATCATATCAAAAGGGAATGATCCAAAGTTTAGTCCTATGATAATTTTTCCTTTGGAATTATTGTCATACGTCCTTGCTTTATAGGATAAACCCATAGGAGAGTAAGGTACAGAAACAACCCATTTAGAAATAAAATAGAAAATATTATCTAAAGTATTAACAGAGGAAACTAAAGCTTGCTTAGCCAGTCCCCAATAGGCAAAATGTGCAACTCTTAAATATTTGCACTAGTTTCTTTCAGAAAATTCATAGCTCCACTTCTAATCACAGCCCATTTATAGCTGAGGGTTTTAGGCAATAATCTAGGGTAGTATGGTGCCTTACACATAAGTGTTCAGTAAGTAACTTTTGATTTATACCAAAAAAACCAAACCTGTTGCTGTTGAGTCAATTCTGACTCATAGCAACCATACAGGACAGAGTAGGACTTTCCCATATGGTTTCCAAGCGGCAGCTGATGGATTTGAACTGCCAACCTTTTGGTTAGCAGCCAAACACTTAATCACTGTGCCACCATTTATAGCTTAGTGCAATTTCATCATTAGTACTAAAAACAACTCAAAGTGTACTTCTTGTTGACAATGGGTCAACAATAGCATGACAGATGCAAAAAGTAGTACATTATATAATTTTTAAGTTATTCAAGACAAAAATTGAATAATAAATTAGATAAGTATTATTATATTTAAAAAATGACAGCCATTAAATCAGTCATTTGGTTGAATACAGGTAACGTTTTTTTTTTTTTTCTTTTAAGACAATTAAGCCCAGTAAATACATCTCTCATTTGAATGTAATACTAACACCTTTTCTTCTTCTTACACTTTCTGAACTTTTGGGTATATTCATTTCCTCGATTGTTTTCTGTGCTACTGTCACTATCACTAGTTTGATTTTGCCTCTTTCGTTTATTCGTCTGATAAGGATCAGAGTCACTTGGTTGCTGGTGAGTCCATTCGTAAGAGCTGGGTCCAGCCTCTAGATCTGGAACGCGATTTAGTGAAGAAGATACGGATGTGCTATTAGGAAGTGGCACTGTCATCTCAGAATAAGGAAGCTGAAGCATTGGATTATATGCATTCCACAGCTGTGGGGGGAAAAAAAAGACATTCATCTACAAAAACTAGCCCAGAAGTTCAAACAAAACAAAGTTAACAGTTTACATTCATTATATAAATAAACGAGTAAACCAAACGATCTGTAGGTACAAAAAAGACAGTGACTTTGTGTAGCAGGGATGTAGTGCCCTAAATGGCTAACACAAAGATTCAAGGTCGTATGTAGCTTATGACAAAGTTTACTACCACGTAGATCAGCACTGTCTACTGACAGACAGAAATACAATGCGAGCCACATACATAATTTTAAATCTTCTAGTTGTTGTTGTTAGTTGCTGCTGAGTTGACACTGATTCAAGTAAAAATAAACAGGTGCAATTAAACAATATATTTCATTTATTCAAATATATCCAAAATATCATGTCAACATATAATCAATATAAAAATTACTAACGAGATATTTAACATTCTTTTTGGTTTTTTATATTAAATAGGGTGTGCATTTTATCCTTACAGCACATCTCAATTTGGACCCTAATTATTATTGAAAATACTTGACTTGAATTTAGATTTCATAAAATTTACAGATGAAAAAGTTGACTGATATACCTAAGTTGTTCCAAATATCATATGTATGTTGAATATTTGTAAAAATTACACCAAAGACCTGTGTGATAGTCCCAAAACTGTCATTAACAAGCTATATAATCTTGGTTGTGTTAATTAAAAACTCTTGAACCTCAATTTTTTTATAAAATGATGACTTGGAAGAAAAAAATTACCAAGTTCCCCTTTAATAACAAAGACCATAATTAAGATTTCTAAGCCAGAAACTTATTTTGGAGAGTCTGTGGAAATAATGTAGTTTACTCTATTATTTGAGAACCTTTGCATAGGCTTGCCTTTAGTTAAAAAAGTTTATTTAAAAATCCATGTCCAAAAGTAAAATATTTGTGATTGATAATTACATTACATAAAAATATTTCACTAAATGAAATGATTCAACTCTCCAAACAGCTTTTAAAACAGCCATTTAAATGAGAACCCTACAAATTTTACTTGGACTAGAGTGCTTAACGTTATCACTACCGTGGGTCCCTTTGCTGGTGACGTGCTGGCTGTCTGCTGAGGGCTAAGTATGAGAGTCAAGGTGACTGTGTGGGAGCACAGCACCACTGGAGACAGTGGTCGGGCAGCTGCTATCTTCTCCCAGCTTTAGATCGAGCACCAAATGTTTCAAATCATTTTGATGTTCTTCACGATTTGTGTCATATTACACAGAACCAAATGCATATCAAACTTACCATATTTGGAGAGAAAAAATATTCCTGAGGTAAAGCAGCATTATTAATTGAAAAGAACTGTGTGGGAACTGAGGATCTGCCCACAAGCTCTTCATTTCTTTGGGGAGATAAAAGAAGAAACAATAAATTGCTCAAACTCCTACATGTAATGTCCTTATTTCTTTAAAAAAAAAAAGAAAGATAGCTTTTCCTGATCTTTAAAAAAAAAAAAAAATGCTGCTCTACTAGAGTTCAGTTAAGATTAATTCAAAACCTGAAACACATCCACATATAAAAATAGTTATTATACTAATAATGTAGTTACACAGTAGTACCTTAAGTCTTAAGTACTAAATACTGAAATATCAATAGTTAGAATTACATTTGGCTTTCTGATAGGAAAATGTGAAACAAGTTTATATTTGTATTAAAGACAAAGAACACTTCAGATTAACAGAGCAAAGCAAGACAATTAATAATCACCACCAGTACAGTTCATCATTCCTATTTTCTACAAAATAAAAAGTTGAAAAAAAATTTTTCTTCAAGTTACCTTTGAAGGTACATTTACTGTTAAACTACCAGTCATGTGCTCTTTCATAAATGGACTACTGATGTTAACATAAAGACACATTTGCTGATTTCTTCCACACATTAATTAAGATAAGAAAAAGGGACTCTTTAATTTAAAAACCATAGTGTCCCAAAATTTCAGGTTTGTTTCTATGGAGATGTTAAAAATACTGCAATGTTAGAAATGCTGGCTAGATTCTATAGCCAGTCTCTAACAGTTACTTGCTCCATTTGCTGTTGTTGTTAGCTGCTGTCAAGCTGGCCCCTGACTCACAGCCACCCCATGCACAATGAAACAAACAGTGCCCATGATTAATGAAGATCAGACTGTTGCAATCCAGAGGGTTTCACTGACTGATTTTCAGAAGTAGATCACCAGTCCTCACTTTCTAATCTGTCTTAGTTTGGAAACTCCACTGAAACCTGTTCAGCATCATACCAGTATGCAAGCCTCTATTGACAGAAGGGTGATGGATGCCCATGAAGCACACTGACCAGGTATCAAACCCCGTCTTCCTCAAGGAAGGTGAGAATTCAACCACTGGGCCACCAAGTATACCATAATTTAAATGTGAATACTACTAACCCATAGAACAGGAAGTACACTGTGGGAAAAGCTGAAATTTGTACAGGCAGGTAGAGGTAAAGCCGAGGGAAGAATGACAAGAAATAGCCAAACAGATAGGTGGCTATTTCATTTATAAGTGGAGAGAGAACAATCATAGAAGCCAGTGGAAGAGTAAATCACATAAAGAAAGGAATAAGACAGGTGTCAAATGTTACAGTACGGAGGCCCCTGAACTGTTGATCAGAATGTTCCTGATAACCTTCAAACAAGCAGCTTCCATAAAATAATGGAGTCATTTCTTAATGGGAAGAGGCTGAGAAGTGAATGGGGAGTGAGGATATGAAGAAGGAAAGATTTTTCAGTGAGAGAAAGGACAAAAACATAACCACCTCATTAGAAGATAGGGTTCAGGGAGGACAGAAACAAAACGTGTGCGGAGAAGGTAATGGTTAACAAACAAAAGAATGGATGAAAGGTAGAACAAGGTTATAGAGTGGGCAAGATACACCTCCGTAGCAGCAGTGGTGAGATTAGCACTGTTAAAAAATAACTGCAGATTCTCTACAACCACTATCTTTCCTATGTGAATCTCTGGGAATACAGAGTTGTCTGCATAGAGAACTAGTATGTAAATTGGGAACTATTCATTAAAAGCTAACAGTATAAGAGACAGTAAGTACAAGGAAGTGCATTTGTAAGAAAGACCAGTGAAAGACTAGGCTATCACATGGGCACCATTTTTCTCTGCAAATCACTTCTAGAACATAATGATTGACCTATCCTCATATTACCTTTATAACAAACACTAAGAGAATAAATTACCACCAGTGACGTGTAATAAAAGGAATATACACTTAACTTGGGTAGAATTTGTGATAATTTAGAGACAGTGTATCAAATATTAAGTAGAGAACACAAGGCTTTTATTGTTATGTTCCATCTAGTCTTTTCTCTTCTACCCAAATCCTAGGAGTATCTTGTTCCTTCCTAATCCTAAGAGGGGGAGACAAAGGTATGTTCTTCCACTTGGTATCAGAAGAAAAAGGAAGCTCATCCTTCATACGTATGGCTTGATTCACAGATAACTCTATAGTGCTTCCCCTACCAAGCACGTAAACCCACCCACCTGTACTTTTTTTGGCTAACATTTGCTGAATACTTTCTATGTGCTCAGTACTTTAAGTACCTTACCCTTATTATAAAATTTGATTCTCACAACAGCCTTTTGAGGTACTATGCTCATTGTAGAGAGGGGCACAGAGTGGAAAGATAACTTATTCAGGGTCACAGGTTAATAAAGTGGCAGAGTGAGGATTCAAATTCAGGCAGTCTGAATTTCACCACCTATTTTCTTAGCTTCTCCTGATTTCATTGATATGGCGATGCTGGGGAGAATGAAGTTGTGAAACATACAGTGTTTTATATCAGGTGCAATACCTCCTCTTAAAGGTAAGCCTGGGCATTTGTCAGTCAGGAGAGGCCACTCTCCTAGGCCTTAGAGGGCTGATACAATTAACAAGGATTGGACCTTTAGCCATCTTGTTAATTTACTTGAGAATATTCAGTTCTTTCTGAAGACAAGAAAACAAACAGGATGCATGAAACACACAAGACTGTAAGCACAGACTGTATGTAAGCCAGTAGTTTAGGAGATAGCAATGAAATTGTTAGGGACAGAATAAGTCACTTGCGAGACAGAAGCAGAATTCATAGTACGTGTTAAATGTAGATAGTAAATGAGTTAGCATTCTGAAAGACATGCCAAAGATAGATACAAAAATAGAAAATATAATGGGACAAATAAGAGTTTTATTTATAGATGGATAAGGTTGGAAAGACCAAGTCATGATCATACCAACTCTGAGCCGACAGTTTTGCTTCTTGTCTTTGCTGTCTGAGAAACTCAGATAAAATCTATGGTGTCTAGCAGGCTAACTGACAAGCTACTTCTGTGGCCAGGTGTTATTTGTTCCTGTGTCTCCCTGAAAGAGCAAGTGACATTAGACCCAGGAACATTCTGTCTGATTGGACACCTTTGCTCAAACCTTAGCTGAGGTCCTCATAACCACACTATCAGCAGGACAGGCTCCTGTAGCAGAGAGAATGTGAATATTAGTGTAAGCAGGACTCCGGTAGTATGGTTCTCTTGCCCACATGCACCCTATCTTAAGTGTGCTAACCTAGCCAATCTCTTTTACTCCTACTTTTCACTCTACATTGTATATTGACTTAATTACTGGTGTGACTCAAGCATCTTAATTTTGTCTGTGAGCCTTTCTGTTCCACGAGTCTGGGACAGCTTACCTGATGGTGTTCTTGGAGGCTACAACTGCATCAATAGATCAGTCACATACAATTTTAGAGTATTTTGAAAATTAATACAGAGAAGTTATTAAAAACCGTAAAACAAAGAATCAAACGGCTTAATCTCAGAAGGCTTAGTTTCAAGCCGGGGACTCTATCACTTATGTTCTTTATTACCTTGGAATTGGTTAACTTTTGCTTCTCCATTTCCTTACATATAAAATATGTAACATTACCTGTGTAATCTATCTCAGCGAGCCCTTGGATGCCTAAATGATTTAACAGCTATGAAAAAAAACATAGTAAACTATAAAGAACACTACATATGTAAATCTCTATCACCCATTGCTGAAAATACTAAGACTAAACTTAAATTTTTTTCTGTCACTTCTCAAGGTTTCAGAAAAATTAATTCCTTCATTTTAGCCTATGTCTAAATAGCAAGGTTTTCGAATAGTCCAGAATATATAAAAAAAAAAACCTTCTTGACACAAGAGCATATTTATTTGTTTCATTTTAGTGAAAAATATTTTAATTACCTGTAGCTATGTGAATTTGTCTTAACACAGCTCTCAAAACTTTGATTAGTTGGTTCAGAAGAGCGAGAACTCCCTTTAAAAAAAATAGAGTAACAGATTACTTCCCAGTATAATAATTTTTTGGCATTCCAACATTAAATCATAAAACAACCCCAAATCAAAAAGGGCAAAATATTGATCTAAAGTGTCATCTTAAAAGCATCTTAAATATCTTAAAATGCCATCCTCATATAAGATAAATGTGTATGTATCTGATCTCTCAAATAATATTTAAGGATTATTTATATTCCTATAAACGAGTAAGTTATAATCATGCTTTGTCCAAAGCAATGGCAGTACGTAAGAATTATACTGGCATAGGGCTAATATAAGATACAGTACATGATGTTGTTTTGTTCTATATACCTTTACCCTAAACATAGCAAACTGTCAGTATTATTTGCCTCCGGTATAGAAGGCATACGTTTTCTAAACTGTACTGACAAAAGGCAATGCACCTTTATACAACAGGATGCTGAGCAGCTGGCTAGGGATGTGTTAGAACGTAAGATGCCCGGGACCATTCTGCAACTCTGTACGAGTTAACTGGACAGTACTTGAGAGCCTGCTGCAGTCCATTTTCTTTGCAAAGACATTAGAAAACAAAAGGAAGAAACCACAAAAAGAAGCAGTTATCCTTTGTAACAGGGCATTGTTCTGTTATTAATTGTTTTTAGTTTAGAGAGGGGGATCAGAAAAGAAAAAGACAAACAACAAAAAACTCCAACTGACACATCAGTAAGCCTGAAGCCATTTAAGGGAGGTGACATAAGTACTGCAAGGACTACCAGGTGGCCTCTATCAGTCCCTAGAACCATGAGAGGGCTCTGGGCATCTAATCATAGACGATCAGCTCCTGACACGTATGCAGGAGGAGGTGGTTTGAGGCCATTCACATCACAAAGTTTCCTCCATCACAAGTCAGGGTCACTCTGCTGCTATCTTTGGCTAATCTGCTCTTACAGGGGCTTAGATCAAGGGCAATATGTACAGGCTAGTTTCCCCAGGAGAAAGACAAATGCACACACCCTCTCTTCCAAAGAGTAGATATTTGATCCCATACTTTAGCAGTGACAAGAAGATCAGCAATGTCAGGAGAAGAAACAGCTTTGCCACAAAAAAGCTAAAGTTTTGGGTCCCCCGTTCTTTTAGAATTTATAAGAGTCAACAGCAACCATCATAGCTACTTGTTGGGTGGCACTAAAATAGAACATTTTACACTTTAATACAGAAAAGATGCTAGAGGGTTGGCAAGGTAATTTTCATGCTAATTAATTGCATAAATTATCTGATTATGAATTAGATGTTTGTTCTGAGAAAATTTAACAGAGACCATAGGGGCACTTTTTCTGGTCTTAAACTACATATAGTATAAAATGCTTATACCTCTGAGAACAGCAACAACAAAACACACTTAAAATAAGGGTTTCACATCACAATGAAGATATCTCAATGACAGGACCTACCAAATCGATACTGCACATTTATTGGTCTTCCATATAAACGGATTCCATTCAGCAAAGCTATGGCATAAGACACTGATTCTGGGTGTTTAAAGCAGACAAATCCAAAAGACTTCGGCTTTCCTTCTCTGTCTTTGCATATAGTCACTTTGGTTAATGGTCCAGCCTATAAGATACTTAAAAATTATTTTCTCATAAATCCAAAGATTTTTTTACAAGTAAATTCAAGAGACTAAAAAAAAAAAATTTGTTATCAATGTTCTTATGTATCTCTAATAATGCATTTTCTTAACAATAAACATAACATCTCACATTTTCTTGGTATTTTCTGACTCATCAAAGAAACATGCATAGTGTTAAGGGTAGGAAACAAACAAACAAATCAAACCCATTGCCATCTAGTTGATTCTGACTCATAGCAACTCTATATACAGAGTTGAACTGCCCCATAGGGTTTCCAAGGAGCAGGTGGTGGATTCGAATTGCCAACTTTTGGGCTAGCAGGCGAGCTCTTAACCACCGCACTGCCAGGGATCCAGGAATAGGAAATGATTGGTAATAGTTCCAAGTTTCAAAAGGAAAGAGATACCACCTTTTTTTTTTTTTTTAAGCTTAACGAAATAAGTAGGTAAGCTTATCGTATCTTTTGATCTAGTAATCCTATTTGGAAAATATTCCCAAAGGGGAAAAAAAATGTTTTAATATGTTTAGGACTTTTAAATAGGTATATTATTTTTAAGTGTGAAAAATAAGAAAGGCTCGAACCAACAACTGAGAATATTATTTCACGGTATATTATTAAAATAGAATAAAATACCACTAAATTATAAATATTCAGGAGGTGTTGATGGAAACACCTAAAAAAGTCATAAAAGTAAAAAAGTAGAGCACAAAGTTATAGAAAAGTCTTAAGTATAACTAAGAAAAAAATTATCTACACCGTGATAAAGATTAGAGGAGGCACAAAGTTTTACAAGGAGGTGAGATTTAATGGTGAATGGTTCATAATTTTTAATTTTACTTTAATGACTGATCATTTTTCTCTGTAGGGTTGGATAAATATGTGTTGTTTTTAATCTAAAGAAAAATGTTGTTATCCGTAAAATGATGTACCCTAGGATTCTGTCATTTTCTTTTCATTCTTTTTGCTCTCCCAAGCTCATCCTTCCTTCTAGCTTTAACTACCAGCTCATCAGCAAATCTATTTTTCCCACTAACACCTCTTTCATGGAGACAGTCTCCTAGAGACCTTCGTGTGATTATGCTTCAAATGCAACATATCTGAAACTAAATTCATTATCCTTCCCCTCTGAATCTCTACGCCAGTATTTCTTATCATAGCTAAAAGTGTTGTTAGTTGTCGAGTTGGCTCTGACTCATGGTGACCTTATGTATAACAGGAGATATTAAAGTCAGATTTTCTTGCTTCAAAGGATAATGAGAAATTGGGGGGGGGGACCTAGTAAAAGGATAAATATACAGTAAATAAAATAACACCAATTTTAATCAGTACTTTATCACTATCAATATTTAAATACGAGAAATCACAGAGACTGTAATGCTTATGTGACTTGAATTTTTACATGAATAAATTTAGATAAGCCAAAGTATTTTTTAAAAAATCCTTTATATTTTACAGCAGTTTTCAGTTTATAGAAAAATTATGCAGGAAGTACAGTGATGTCCCATATGTCTCCTCTTAGTCCTGCACAATTTTATTGTTATCATCTTGCATTCCTGTGGTTCACTTGTTATAAATGATGGACCAACACTGATACATTAACTAGGTCCACCATTTACATTTGGGTTCCTTCTTTGTGTTGCATAGTCTTGTGAGTTTTGACAAATGTATACGTAACATCATGAGTCCACTATTTCAGATCATACAGAACAGTTGCGCCTGTGCTCCATTCAGCCCTCTCCTCTTCCCCTGAGCCCCTGACAACCACTGATCTTTTCAATGTTTCTGTAGTTTTGCCTTTTCCATAATATCATACAGTTGGAATCACACAGTATGTACCAAAGCATTTTTGAAGCTAAAATGCAACATGAAGGCTTACTTATAGCAATAATCACATTATTTTAGTTTTTTCAAATCAGAATGAAATATATCAACAGTGATGCAGTTGTCAAGCTTTGCTAGGTTTTGCCAGGGTGAAGCCTTGTTAAAAGATACTTCATTTCAGCAAATCCTTCCAGATTATAGCAGTACCTCAGCAAAAATAAAAACATATGCCTGATGGTCTGATCTATTAAAAGAGATTTATATTCTGTTTCAGTGGGGGAAAAAACATTATAAAAACGAGAAAATACATGTAGTTGCTGTTGTGCTGTTGAGTCGGTTCTGACTCATAGCGACCCTGTGTGACAGAGTAGAACTGCCCCATAAGGTTGTCTTGGATGTAATCTTTATGGGAGCAGATTGCCAGGTCTTTTCTCCTGCAGAGCCGCTGGATGCGTTCGAACTTTAGAACTTTTGGTTAGCAGCCGAGAGCTTAACCATTGTGCCACCAGGGCTCCTTGAAAAGATACACACACACACATATACCTTCTCTCTCTTTCTATATACAGATATGTGTGTGTGTGTGTGTGTGTGTGTGTGTGTGTATGTATAACTGATGTGGATTCAGTCTTTACTGACTAGAAATAATGTATGTGCACGGGAGCCTTCTTACCTTATCCCACCTTTACCACCATCTTTCCTCCTTCCCCCATTTTAAGAGCCTCAACAAAAAGCCTTTGAAAGTATTTTGGAGCCTTATGGAGGAAAATGACTATAAGTATATATATATATATATACATATATATATACACACATACATACACATATATATACATACATATATATACATATATACATACATATATTTGTATTTAGAGTGAAAAGTTTTAAATGATACAATAGGTGAAAAAATAATTACAGGAAAGAACAAGTATTGCAGCTGATAAAAAGAACAAGCTAAAAAAGATGGCAAATTAGAAATATAAACATTAAAGTCTTAAAATCAACCATATTTTTTAAATAAAAAGTATTATGTCTAGGAAAGGAAACTGTTCTTAGACAGAATTCTAAATAAAAATAAACCATGGTTCTAAATAATCTACCAAACTGTGTGCATCTATAATTAATATAGGGGTGTTTCAGTTAGTTAAGAGACAAAGATACCATACTCCACACCACTTGCATCAATTTCATTCCAAATCATGGTGACCCCATGTGTGCTGGAGTAGAACTGTGCTCCACAGGGTTTTTGAATGGCTGATTTTTTAGAGAAGTAGATTGCCAGGTATTTCTTCTGAGGCACCTTAGTAGACTCAGGGACTGTAGAGACAAAGAACTTTCAAAAAACAAATAAATAATCCTCTTCCCCCTGGTAAACTCATACTTAGTCCTGGAAATTTAGCTCTGCTATTGTCTCCCTTAGAGGGTTCTCTTGTTCTGAAACGGAGCAGTCACTCTTTCTTGAAATCTCTTGATGCTAATGTTAGTAATAATAGTAGTAATAGTATTAGTAGTAGCAGCAGCAGCAAACACTTAGTAAGTGCCAGGTTCAGTTCTGTTTTATGAGGATTTGCTCATTTTAATCCTCACAACCACACCATATTGTAGACACTACTACTCTCATTTGACTCTGGGGGAAACTGAGGCACCTAGATACTTGTCCAGTCACATAGCTGGCCACAGGGCTCATACTCTAAACCACTGGACTATATTTGTACTCTCTTTTGTTGTTGTTGTTGTTAGGTGCCGTCAAATAGTTTCCGACTCATAGCGACCTTATGTACCACAGAATGAAACATTGTCCGGTCCTGCGCCATACTCACAACCGTTATGCTTGAGCCCATTGTTACAGCCACTGCGTCAATCCATCTCATTGGGGGTCTTCCTGTTTTTCACTGACCCTGTACTTTACCAAGCATGATGTCCTTCTCCAGGGACTGATCCTTCCTGACAACATGTCCAAAGTATGTAAGATGTAGTCTTGCCATCCTTCCTTCTAAGGAGCATTCTGGTTGTACTTCTTCCAAGACAGATTTGTTCATTCTTTTGGCAGTCCGTGGTATATTCAGTATTCTTCACCAACACCAAACTCAAAGGCGTCAATTCTTCTTCAGTCTTCCTTATTCATTGTCCAGCTTTTGCATGCATATGAGGCGACTGAATATACCATGGCTTGGGTCAGGTGCACCTTAGTCTTCAAGGTGACATCTTTGTTTTTGAATACTTTAAAGAGGTCTTTTGCAGCAGATTTGCCCAATGCAATGTATCTTTTGATTTCCTGACTGCTGCTTCCATGGGTGTTGATCGTGGATCCAAGTAGAATGAAATCCTTGACAACTTCTATCTTTTCTCCATTTATCATGATGTTGCTTACTGGTCCAGTTGTGAGGATTTTTGTTTTCTTTCTGTTGAGGTGTAATCCATAATGAGGGCTGTGGTCTTGGATATTCACCAGTAAGTGCTTCAAGTCCTCTTTACTTTCAGCAAGCAAGGTTGTGTCATCTGCATATGGCAGGTTGTTAATAAGTCTTCCTCCAATCCTGATGCCCCCTTATTCTTCATATAGTCCAGCTTCTTGGATAATCTGCTCAGCATACAGACTGAGTAGGTATGGTGAAAGGATGCAACCCTAAAGCACACTTTTCCTGACTTTAAACCACTCAGTATCCCCTTGTTCTGTCTGAACAACTGCCTCTTGATCTGTGTACAGGTTCCTCATGAGCACAATTAAGTGTTCTGGAATTCCCATTCTTTGCAATGTTATCCATAATTTGTTCTGATCCACACAATCAAATTCCTTTGCATAGTCAATAAAACACAGGTAAACATCTTTCTCTGCTTTCAGCCAGGATCCACCTGATATCAGCAGTGATATCCCTGGTTCCATGTCCTCTTCTGAATGTGGCCTGAATTTCTGGCAGTTCCCTGTTGACATACTGCTGCACCTGCTTTTGAATGATTTTCAGCAAAATTTTACTTGCGTGTGATACTAATAATATTGTTCGATAATTTCCACATTCAGTTGGATCACCTTTCTTGGGAATAGGCATAAATATGGGTCTCTTCCAGTCAATTGGCCAGGTAGCTGTCTTTTGTAGATTATCCTAAATCACGGTAATCAATTTTCAGTTTCTTCTCTTAGAAAGACCATGGTTGTTTCTTAAGATCGTTATGTCCAGCACCTTATTTAGTGTTTGCCATCTAATTCCAGGCCACTCAACAGTTGGATGAATGGTTAAATGAGAATATCTCTTTAGCAAGTGAGACCTAGGCGTATACAATAGGCGAGTACTTAGAGAAGACTTAATTCTGGAGGAAAGAAGGTGCTCGGTCTCGGAAAGTTTCCAGGTCTTCTTGGTATTAAATAAAGGGAACTGGCCAGGGAATCAACTGATCACAGTAACGGTACACTGGCTGCCCAGATCACCTTAAATCTCACCTGTAAAACTGAAGCAAAAGTAAGCTTCCATACAAAAGGGCTCAGAGGAATGATTAACGTAGAGTGAAACATTTTTAAAGCTCTATCTCTCATTTCGCAGATATAAGGCATGGAGGTGCTTATAACCTGAAGGAAGAGTGACAGCGCTGTTTTTTCGGATCTGCCAGAGGTGACCCAAGGCCCAGGCAGCCTCTGTGAAGCCCTTACTCAGGGCTGGGGGCTGGGAGAACCCAGTCACTGTCAACCCCCAGGACCCTGCAGTAGGGGTGCGTACGGGTGCGCACACTGTGGCACTTCGCTGCCCAGCCTCTCACCTGGAGACAGGTGCCAACGTGAAAATACATCAATACCCCAGCAAAGGACGGACTGGTAGGGGCCGGGCTCCGAGTGGTCCAGGTGGCCCCGCCCCCCCGGCTGCGCTTCCGGCCCAACGCGACCCGCCCCTGCGCTGTCCCTCCCCCGCCGGCAGTACCTGAAGGAATAGCTCGTAAAGAATCTCTTCCCGCACTCGGGCCTCTAAATTCCCCACAAACACGGTCCTGTCAGCCTCTTCCCGAGTCGGGAACATCCCTTCTGCCTGGGCCCAAGAATGGAGTTGGCGTCACGACCCCGCCCCCCCGTCTCGCTTGACTGCGCCGGGCGGGGCCGGCGACGGGGGCGCTCGCGTCGGGGGCGGAGCCGAGGCTGCAGGGCCCCGCCCACTGCCTCGCGGGAACCGCCCACCGCGCGGCTGTGCTGCCCCGGATCAGGCTGCGCGGGTGGGCGAGTGCGGGTGGAGTAGAAAAGGTTAGTGTGGCAGGGGCTTGGCCTACACATTTGTGGGATTTCCCCACCTCGTTTTATCCGGGAGGAAAATTAGTAATTGATTTTCTGTTGTTCAGCGAACACTTCAAATGAAATGACCATAGAGATGGTACAAGACATAGTAACCTGTAGTCCCAGGTTTACAGGGGAAGATTAATTTGTCTCCAAAGGTGTTCGGTGCGGTGGAGTAGGTTCCGACTCATAGCGACCCTATAGGACAGAGTAGAACTGCCCCATAGGGTTTCCAAGGAGTGGCTGGTGGATTTGAACTGCCGGCCTTTTGGTTAGCAGCCGAGCTCTTAACCACTGTGCCATAAAATCATTTGAAGTAAAAAATTACTCATAAAATAATTTCTGAAAGAAAGGATGAAAGCACGCATGTATGCATGTGGATACAACTGAGTACTAGAATTACAGTTGACTCAGGAAGAGCTACCTAGGGAATTTGGAGAAGGTGGCCACAGAGGTTTTGGGTGGACTCTGGAAGGCATTTGAACATTGGGGCCTATAACAAGGAATACTGCAAGTTTGGAGGCTGGAGGCTTGTGTTGTTGTGTTCTGTGGAGGGATTCTGACTAATAGCGATCCTATATGACAGAGTAGAACTGTCCCATAGGGTTTCCCAGGCTATAATCTTTATGGGAGCAGATCTCCAGGTCTTTCTCTAGAGGAGTCGCTGGTGGGTTCAAACCTCAGACTTTTTCAGTTAGCAGCCACGTGCTTAACCACCGTGCCTTCAGGGTTTCTTGGGGGCTTGTAGCAGGGTTCAGTACAGTACTTCGTGTCATGTGTATCCCCGTGAAGCACTGATTCCTACTTAAAGAGGATTACCAAAACACACACACACACACACACACACACACACACACACACAAATGACAGAGAATTAGAAGAAAGGGGGAACAAAACTTACAGAAGCTCAACAGTTTGATAAATAAGCTGTCAACTATTTTTCTCCCTTCTTGCTTCCATTCCTCTCTCTTTCCCTCTCTCCTTTTCTTCCTCCTTCCTCTCTTCCTCCTCCTCTCTGTCTCCTACTCTCCCTTTGTTGCAGACCCTCACACGGGGCACCATCTGTCGCAGCGGCGATGGTAATCGGGACGGCGAAGACGGTAACCAACTGCGCAACTCTTTCAGAGAAGTGGGGCCAGGAGGGTCACTCTGAGGAGTCGACCCCCACCTCTGTCCCAGGCGTTTATTTATAATAGATACGGCAAGCAATAAAGCAGATCACAAGACAGTGAGTTTTCAGGTGGATAACAATCAGTTTTGGGTAAGGGGAAAGGAATTTGGGTATGTATATGACAAGCAGTAAAACAGATCACAAGACAGTTTCAGAAAAACGGCAATTAAACAAGATGTGGCTGGCCTTAGTTATTTATACTGATGTAGATAACACAGAGGCCTGTAGGGAGCTGCACTTAGCTTAAGTGCAGCCATATTTTATGGCTAAGAATACTAAAGCAATAATTGTATCCATATCCCTTCCTCAATATTGTTCTGTTAATTCTCCAGCCTGAATGCATGACTTTACATGACTTTAACTATTACGTATATATATGGAGATATATACATATATGCCTGTTGCTTTATATTGTGCTTTGCCTTAATGAGCTGTAAGCAGTGGGTCGACATGATCAGAGTTGTTTTTACAGGATTATTCTCACATTATTTATGATTTCTACGAAGATATTATCATAGCTTGGCTCACGAATAGGCGGAATGGAGGCCTAGGCTAAGACTTAATACTATTGTAAATAGTTCAGGCAAGGGGAAATGAGTTCTTGAACAAAGACAATGCCAGAAGGGACAGAGAGAAGAGGGCAGATTTGAAAAACATTTAAAAGGTGGAATGTGTATACTTAGTAGGTTTTTTTTTTTTAACAGTTTATTTTTTGTTGTTGTTAAAAATATACATAGCAAAACATAAACCAATTCTACAGTTTCTTCATGTACAATTCAGTGACATTGATTACATTCTCCAAGTTGCGCAGCCTCACCCTCCTTTTCTGAGTTATTCTTCCACTGTTAACATAAACTTACTGCCCTCTAAGCTTCCTATCTAATCTTTCAAGTTATTTTTGTCTATTTGATCCCATATAGATAGTTCTTTAAAAGAGCTATCAATGCTCAAGGCAGGCATTCTTTACTAATTAAGCTAACTATTCTTGGTTCCTGATTTTAAACCATGCATTATCCCCTTTTTCTTTTCTAGCAACTGTGTCTTCATCTATATACAGGTTCCGTGTGAGCACAATTAAGTGTTCTGGAATTCCCATTCTTTGCAGCATTATCCATAATTTGTTATGATCCACACAGTCGAATGCCTTTCCATAGTCAATAAAACACCGGTAAACATCTTTCTAGTATTCTCTGCTTTCAGCCAAGATCCATCTCACATCAGGAATGATATCCTTTGTTCCATGTCCTCTTCTGAGTCTGGCTTGAATTTCTGGCAGTTCCCTGTTGACGTACTGCTGCAACCATTTTGAATTATCTTCAGCATAATTTTACTTGCATGTGATATTAATGATATTGTTCAATAATTTGAGCATTCCTTTGGATCACCTTTCTTTGGAATGAGCACAAAATTAATCTCTTAAATTTGTTTGGCCAGGTAACTGTCTTCCAGATTTCTTAACATAAATGAGGGAGCACTTTCAGCATTGCATCTGTTTGTTGAAACATCTCAAATGGTATTCCATCAATTCCTGGAGCCTTGTTTTTTGCTAGTGCCTTCAGTGCAGCTTGGACTTCTTCCTTCAGTACCATGGGTTCTTGATCATATGCTACCTCCTGAACTGGTTGAGTGTCGACCAATTCCTTTTGGTACAGTGATTCTGTGCATTTCTTCCATCTTCTTTTGATGCTTCCTTGTTCATATTTTGCCCATAGAATGCTTCAGCATTGCAACTCAAGGCTTGAATTGTTCTTCAGTTCTTTCAGCCTGAGAAATGCCGAGTGTGTTCTTCCCTTTTGGTTTTCTAACTCCGGGTCTTTGCATATTTCATTATAATACTTTAGTCTTCTCCAGCTGCCCTTTGAAGTCTTCTGTTCAGCTCTTTTACTTTATCATTTCTTCTTTTCACTTTAGCTACTCTACTGTAATAGTTAAGATTGTGTGTCAGCTTGGCTGGGCCATGATTCTCAGTGTTCATATGTGATCACTCCCATGATGGGACCTGCTGTGAGTAGCCAGTCAGTTGAAAGGGAGTTTCCTTGGGCATGTGGCCCGCATCTGAATATAAGCAGGTGTTCTGGCTTTTTGCTCACTCTGGATCCTGCAGCTGGCTCCTGTTCATCTGGCCTCCAGTTCTTGGGACTTGAGCTAGCAGCTTACCTGCCAAACTTGGCATTCGTCTATCTTCACAGCCTGTGAGCAAGAGCCTTGCTCTCCGACCTGCTGATCTTGGGTTTGCCAGCCCCTGTGGCTATGTGAATCAGGAGAAGCCTCTATCCTGATCCACAGACTTGGGACATTCCAGACTCTACAACCTTGTGAGCCATTTCTTTGATATAAATCTCTCTCTATATATATATTTATACACTTTACTGGTTTTGCTTAGGCTCTTCTGACATCCACTTTGGTCTTTTCTTTCTTTCCTGTCTTTTTAATGACCTTTGTCTCACTTTCTTTGGATGCATCATTAGGAGGAACCAGTCCTTAGAGAGGGACATCATGCTTGGTAAAGGAGAAGGTCATCGAAAAAGAGGAAGACCCTCAATGAGATGGATTGACATACTGGCTGCAAGAATGGGCTCAAACATAGCAACAATTGTGAAGATGGCACAGGACGGGACAGTGTTTCGTTCTGTTGTGCACAGGGTTGCTATGAGTGGGAATTGACTCTACGGTACCTAACAACAACAACAACATTGTTTGGTTTAAAGAAGATTTTAAGGATTTTTCTTTTTTTGGTTTAAGGTTTAGGGTTTACTTAGTAAGTTTTTAAATGTGGGGTAAAAGAGAAGAGAAACACAGTATCTTACTTTGGGAAGCATAAAGAATTTGAGATGAGGATAATGACTGTACAGTATGCAGTGGTGGGCAAGTAGATATAAGTGGATAGGGATCAAACAGAAGAAAATATCCCTCAATTTATACTTTGTGGTCTGTATGAAGTTGCTGAGACAGGTGTGTGACTCATTTGGTGGCTGAACACTTGGAAGGACAATGAGGAAAGTGGTAGGCAAAAGTAGCCTTTACACCTCGAGAAAGAGATGGAAAAACTCCCTCTAGACACCTCAAAAATTGGAATTTAGTAATAAGGGCAGGATGGATTAGGTTTCAAATCATGTAAATATTGAACACTTTGTTGGTAACACAATGTAGAGGGGAAAGGCAGACCAGATTAAATCCTCCCAGTTGTTGTTAGATGCCACTGAGTCGATTCCAACTCATAGTGACCTCCTGTGACAGAGTAGAACTGCTTCATAGGGTTTACTTGGCTGTAATCTTTATGGAAGCAGATTGTCAGGTCTTTCTTCTATGGAGCCATATGTTTGTGCCACCAGGGCTCCTTAAATCCTCCCTAGATTTTGTATTTGTCAACATGGCTTACAATGACTTCAGTATGCATGTAGATAAAGAGAACTTAGCCTGCTGTGATTCTACTCATACAGATTCTGTAATTTAAGCGGGAGAGGGAACATAAGGGGAATCAATGGGATACAGGGAGAACAGAGCAAGAAGAAAGAAGAGGAAGTAGTGAGTGGAAATGGAACCCAAGAACATGTCACTGGAAGATACATTGTCTCATTCCC